CCCTAAACCATCGTGTTATGCAGCTTCCAAACCCTAAAGTTTAACCCGCGGTGTGCGCGCTGCATGCAATAAAATAAACCCTAAAACTTCCAAACCCTAAACCCTAATGCGTGCTGTGCGCGCTGCGTGCCAGAGATAAACCCTAAAACCTTCAAACCCTAAACACTAATGCGCGCTGCGCGCGCTTTGTGCAATAGAAATAAACCCTAAAATCTTCAAACCTGAAACTCTCGTGTCATAGAGGTAAACCCTAAAATTTCCAAACCCTAAACCCTAAACCCTAGCGCGCGCTGCGCGCGCTGTGTGCCATAGAAGTACCCCTTCAAATCTCCAAACCCTAAACCATCGTGTCATGGAGGTTAACCCTAAAACTTCGAAACCCTAAAGTTCAACCCACGCTGTGCACGCTGCATGCAATAAAATAAACTATAAAACTTCCAAACCCTAAACCCTAATGCGCGCTGCGCGCACTGCGTGCCACACACATAAACCCTAAAACTTTCAAACTTTAAACCGTAACGCGTACTGCGCGCACAGCCTGCCATAGAGGTAAACGGTTAAACTTTCAAACGCTGCGTGCCATAGAGGCAAAGCCTAAAACTTTCAAACGCTAAACCGTAAAGCAGGCTGCGCGCGCTGCGTGCCATAGAGTGCTCCTCAAAAGTGATTACATGTCATACTTTAGTGGCATCCTCCAAATTCATTAGTCAGCCTTTGTTAATCCAGGGCCCATTTTACACATGTCATCTTCTTGGTCGTGGCGCCATTTCAGGATCACACTGATGACCTAAGCTTTGGCCTTAACTATTATGCAGGCAAGCGACATCAGCACGCTATGGTATTGGAAGACACAGGGTTTGCCCGTAGACCAGCCAAAAAATCGATTTTCCACACTGAACAATTGGATTTAACACATTTAGAATAGGAGCTCCGCCTGATTCAGATTTCATCACTTAAAAGGTACCCATGCCTGACTAGCCTTCATGACTTAAAGCGTAACCACACCCGACTTAAGGGAACCCTGACTAGCCTTCATAATTAAGAGGTACCCACCCACGCCTGACTTAACAGAACCCATGCCTGACTAGCCTTCATAATTAAAAGGTACCCATGCCCCTGAATTCAGGGAACCATGCCTGACTAGCCTTCACAATTAAAAGGTACCCACTGGAACCATGCCTGACTAGCCTTAATGACTTAAAAGGTAACTACACCTGACTTAATACCTGATTTACTGGTTTTGCCTGATTTTGGAAAAACGCAGGGCCGGAATTTGCAGGGCGCGGGCCGGAATTTGCCGGGCCCGGGCCGGAATTTGCCGGGCTGGGATTTTGGGGTCGTGCCTAAATAGGATTTTTGCAAAAATCGTGCATGACTGAAGGGAACCATGCCTGACTAAACATCATACCAATCATCCCAAAAGAATCCAATAATTCCAGCAAGTGATGCCTGACCAATCCCTGCGTCATAATAAACCGTCTGCCCCTCCCCACCCAATAATGAACACACGGAATAGTTTTTTGTATTTAGTGGGTATTTAGTATGAGGGTGCGAAACTTCCCCCTTGGTTAAAAAAAACTAAATTGGAAAACATTTTTTAAATAACATCTAACTAAAATATTGCCAAAATTGGATTCCGAAGCTTCCCCCTGACATTAAATTGAAAACATTCGTTTTAAAAAATGAACTTTATATTTCAAAACCGATTGAATTCCTATTCAAAATCTAACTCAAATCTTGCCAAATTGGATTTCGAAGCTTCCCCTTATATTAAATTGAAAACCTTACTAATCCCCACCTCCTTTTACTAAACGTACCCTAAATACTAAAATATTACATTGATTCCTTTTACTAGGGTCCGCGTTAAATTTTGGGAAATTTCAGGCTGGCCAGTTTGACTTTTAATTGATACCTTTTCAAAAACAAATTAAACATGAAGGTCCCATTTCAGGATTTCACCACCAAAAAATAAAAACTAGTCAGCCCCGGTGATTTTTTAAACTAGGGTCTTTTAAGGTCGAAAAAATAAGTATTTTATATTACAACGTTTATATAATATTGGGGGAAAACTTCGAAATCCACTTTTTGGCATTTCCTGGCAATATTTTTGCTGGATGTCAAAAGGAAATCTAATCGATTCTTGAAATCGAAAAAACATAGTTTTTTTTATTAGTGTTTTTAATTTAATCTTAGGGGAAAACTTCGAAATCCAATTTTTAGCAATATCTTAATTATATGTTAAACAGAAAACTAATCGATTTTGAAACAGTTTTTTTTAAAAATATATTAGGGCTGGTAATTTAATATTAGAGGAAACATTTCGAAATCCGGTTTTTGTTTTTATTTTTGTTACTACAATTTAAAAGGAAATCGAATCGATTTCAAAAAAGAAAAAATAATATTTTATATTAGGGTTTTTTAATGTAATATTAGGGGAAAACTTCAAAATCCAATTTTTGACCATATTCTAATTAGATTTCAAAAGGAAATCTAATGAATTTTGATATAGAAAAAATAGTCTTTGATATGAGGGTTTAATATGAGGGGAAAGCTTCGAAATCCAATTTCTGGCAATATCTTAATTTGAATTTACAAGGAAATCTAATCGATTCTGAAATAGAACAAATTTAGTTTTTTATATTGGAATTTTTCATGCAAGATTAGGGGAAGCATCGAAATCCAATTTTTGAACATATTTTAATAATTGGATTTTAATTTGATATTAGGGGAAAGCTTCAAAATCAATTTTGTTTTTTTCATTAGATTTCAAAAGGAAATCTAATCGATTTTGAAACAGGAAAAAAAACAAAATGATATTAGGGTTTAATATAAGGGAAAAGCTTCGACATCCAATTTTTTGGCCATATTTTATTTAATTTTTAAAAGCAAATCTAATCGATTTCGAAATAGAAAAACATACATAGTTTTTTTATGTTGGGGGTTTTTATTTGATATTAAGCTTCGGAATCCACTTGTTTGCCATATTTTAATTGGATTTAAAAAGAAAGAAATCTGATCGATTTTGAAATAGAAATATGTGTATATATATATATGTGTGTTTTTTATCAGTATTAGGGGGAAGCTTCGTACCCTAATACTAAAGACCCCCCAATACTAAAAACTCCTCCAGGTGTTTGTTATTTGGGTGGGTGGGTGAAGGGGCGACTGTTTAGCAACAGGGGGAAGGGATTAAACCGTTTTTTGTTTCTAATTTCAAAATCCATGAAAATAATCTTTAAATAGAATACTGCCAAGAATAGGATTTCGAAGCTTTCGCCTAGTATCAAATAAAACACCAACACCTGAATTAAAAAAACTAAAATTGACGATTTTAAAGGACGGACCCCAATAAAAGACACCCCGGTGTTGACTAGTTTTTTATTCTTTGGGGGTGAAACCCTCACATGGTACCTTCATTTTTAAAATTGTTTCCTCAAGGGGATCAATTAAAAATCAGATTAACCAATTTGACATTTCCCAAAATTGGAAATCGCACCTAGTTTTTGTCATTTGGGGGTATTTTTCGTAATAGGGAGAAAGGATTAGCAAAAAGAATGCCTGATCAAAATGATGCTGATTCTGTGTGTTACAATCTTTTTGCCCACTACAGTGTCTACAGGGTTACAAGGGATGCCGTGCCAGCTAGAGTCCCAAGTCCATTCAACCAACACCCTAATCGATGAAGTTGGACTTGTTGAAATGGAAGTGGGACTGGACCAGTTGACATGGGGCGATGCTGACCTTCAACGGGAGCTTCGGCGCCTGAAGGACAACAGTTTGAAAATTCCGAACCTGAAATATATTTTCAAAATTGCCTTACTAAGAGTGATCCCCACCCTGACACACTATTCTGACATAGTTTCTGACATATCATCTGGACGTATATGTGGCATATATGTTCTGACATACTATCTTACATTCTTTTCTGAGATTCTATTTGACATTCTTTCTGGCATCCTATCTGGCATCTATTCTGACATACTTTCTGGAATATACTATATTCTGATCCTGCCTTGCCATGAGTTTGGGCTGGGAGTGCTTTTATTTGCGTGGATCAATGCCAATGGCTTGAATATCCACCAAATGTTGGTTTCACATGTTTGCACCCAATGATTGCCATTACCATTGATACCCCAAAATGGCCAGGTCCTGAATTTGAGAGTAGGTCCTGAAAAGTTTTCTGGGTACTGAAAAAACAGGACTTTGGCACAGGGTCTGAAAAAAGACGTAGGTGGAAGATTCAGGTATGCTGTTGGGTTGCAAAGCTGGGTTAATTAACTCCAAAGAACCCCCAAATGAACCCTGAAGAAATCCTACATAAACCCTGAAAAATCCCTGTGAACATGTATGTGGTGGAATACCTGTGGGGCGTGGAGCACGTGCTGCGGGCAAAAGAACATGTCTTTCATTTCTTTGCCTTGCAGGGAACTTGTTCTCCTAAATATGGTTAAGTCATCGGGGGTTGCCAAATCATCTGAGTCGTTAAGCCATGACGACTGGTATTGAAACAACCAAACAGTGACGACTGGGGATCCCCCATGACTTAAGAACCCCCGAAAACGCATTGGATGTCCAAACTTCGATGTTTTCACGACCGGAGTTGGTTTCCACAAAGGGGGGCCCCAAAGTCATCCAAGTAGTTCTTTTGGGGACACAAATTGTTTTGGGATATAACCCACTTTGAGAAAACACGAGGAAGAAGTGCAGTGTTCAAAACCTCACAACCCCTGTTGGTTGATTATTGCTTCGGGGGATGTACTACCTTGTATGTATTTGTGGATGATCATAATCCATGTCAAAGATTGAGGATGTTCGATTTTTCAGGGAATCCCATCAAAAAGATGCATGAAAAATCACCACCAAAAAAATACCTCCAGAAACATCAAACCGCCACGAGCAGCGGTTTACGCCACGAATTTTCCCAAGAAAAGTTGGTGGCCAACGAGGAGGGCGGCTGATCCCGTTGAGAAACACAAAAAACCGGATCAACTGGTCCTGAGGACCTTGAATGCGGCGGCGAATAATTTGACCATCTTACCCACCTGGAGAGACCTGGAGAGCTTGGAGTTGCCTGGACGGATTGGACGGACCCCGTGAATGTGGGATGCCAGGGAAAAGTCATCATTTTGATTAGTTGGGATGGGACAATCATCTCTAGACAGATACAAATGATGTATTTTTCTCATTTTTTTCTCCAGGTGTCAGGTGAACGTCTCTAGATTTTACGTCAGTGTATCCTGCAAAGGCCTCTTAGCAAAGTGCGGAGCCAGACACCGAATTTCCATCCCGCGGGCCAACATTATTTCGTAAAGCAACAAATATTGGATATTCGGTGTGAACAATTCGTATTCAAATGAGGAATATCCATCAAACATTAAGATGATAAACTATTGGATTATATTGGATTTTTGGGTTCCAACTTTTGTCAAAGTTATTGGAGTCCCATTGTGGAATTTGTTGCCAACAATGGTGGTGTAAGATACGAACCCTTCTGAGGAGAGATAAAAAAAACACCAACAGGGTGCAGGTCGCCATACCCATTTCGTGATCCTCCGTTTTTTGGGAACTTGATATGAAGGTTGTGGGATCAACAATCTTTCCCACCCCGACTGAGCAGAGCCTCAGAGCGTTGTGTTTTCTAATGATCAAATGTCCCGGCATTCGGTGCATTGCCAAACGTGTTTCTCTAAGTCCAAGATTTTCTTGCAGTCCAGTTTGGTTCTTGTCAAAACAAAGGGATGCCGAGCTCACTCAAATCTAGTGGTTTATCATCATTTTCCCTACTAGAAAAACAATTTGGAAGGTACACCACATTTTTGTATATCACATCTCTTTTGACTGACGGGCGATCCCTTCGAATCTGTTGAGCTTAGAGCAGGCTTTCGGTGCAATTTCTTTTAACCATACTTCCGGCACCACATTGTGATACTCTTAACCACACTTCCCCCAACAGATAGTGATTTGCTCAAAGACTTCTCGCAGGTGGGTGTTTCACCTGCTTTCTTCCATGGCTGTTCGAGTTGTGTGGTCAATTCTGAGGGAGCTGGACTTGCGTCAGAATAAATTGTTTGCATTGCCTGAGTCTATCGGTGATCTGGACAGCTTGATGCCACTTGGCTGTTTCCATCTAGGATTGGAGCTGGTACGAGAGTTTCACCAGCTTTTTCCAGAGCTCAGTGTACGAATGCGGGGATGATTGCGGAGCAATTTCGAACTCAGGAAACTGGACCTCTCTCAAAATGATCTGGGTGATTTGCCTTACGTGCTGGGGTATTTGGAGAACTTGGAGCGCCGTGGCGGAGAATGGGGCAGAGGCTGAGGGTTAGCGTGTAGCTGGTAGCTATCTGATAGTAACACTCCTTTGCGCCTTCCAAAGATGCCTCCTGATTTCATTGGAATTACGTATCTTTGCAAAATTCACCCAGCTGTGCAACCCAACAGCAGGTTCCAGGGTTCCAGGTTTCCAAAGTGCCGTTCCGGCTTTCAGGGGTGACAAAAATCGGTGCACCACTCCCAGAGCCAGAGATTGAAACCAAGAATCACTGCTGTTGGGAAATTATTGACCCCTCATTTTCAGGGTGGAATTCAGATCCTAAAATGATCAGCCACTGAGTCTATCCTATGATAGGTTGCCATAGTCCTATCTTGGTCATGTATTGGTCCCCATGATCTTCCGATTAACGATTACACCCCTTTATAATCCTTTATATTACAATTATATTATACTTATGTTGATCTATCCCATACCCACGTATAGCTTGAACCGTTGCATAGTTTCATCTCCGGATGTTTTTCTTTCTATTCCGTTCGGGGTATGTTTTTCTGATTTTATGCTGGGGCTGCTTTTGCCTTTGCTTTTGCTTCTTTTCCTGCTTAGTCCTACTTCATTGCTTTTCTGCTTCTTTGCTTCTCTGCTTCTCCGCTTTTTTTAAACCACTTGTAAATTGTATATAAAGCCTGAAGCAACTCTTAAGATCAGTGAATCAGACCTAAACCAACCCTGAATATATAGACCTTAAACCAACCCGAAATAAACTCTAAAAACATCCAAATAAAGCCCGATCCTAAATAAGCCTCAAACCAATCTTAAATAAGCCCCAAGCCAATGGTAAATAAACCCTAAACCACCGCCCAAAAAAAGACTATATAAATCAGCCCTAAGTAAACCACACTCTTAAATTTACCTCTAACCAACCCTAAATAACCTTGAAAAACTTGAAACCAATCCTTCAATAAACCCTAAACCAATCCGAAAGAAACCCCAAGCCGACCTCAAGTAAACCAACCAACCCTCAATGAACCCAAAACCAACCCTAAATAAACCCTAAACCAACTCTAAATAGACCCTAAACCTACTCTAAGTAAACACGAAACGAACCTGAAATAACCCCCAAAACAAGCCCCAAATAAACCTTAAGCCGACCCTTAAAAAAACCCTTAACCACAACCAACGGTAAAAAATCCAAAGCCTTAATCAACTTAAACCCAAACCTCAGTAAACACTAGTCACTATAGACCAACTCCAAGTAGACCCCCGATTGACTTTAAACAACCACCAAACAAACACTAAGCCAACCCTAAATGAAGAACCTTAAACCGACCCTAAATAAGCCTTCAACGAGTCCTAAATAAACCATCAACCGACCCTAAATAAACCCTAAACCACCCCTAATCCTTCAACAGATTTCAAACCAACCCCAAATAAACCGAAACGTGGCCACAAGCAGCAGTATTCATAACAGGAACTGCAAATAGCAGTCTAAAGCGTCGAAAACATGGCCCTCGCGCGATGTTCTAATGGAACAGAAAGAAAAATCCCCAAGGAATTTGACGCCCTTGGATCTCCAAAGGTATCTCCACGTGGATCAGAATCGACTGACGGAATTGCCTGAATCCTTCGGCCTTCTGGAGAAATTGGTGCAGCCTGGCTAGTGCTGGGAACTTGGGGCGATCTTGGCCGAAAGCATGTGACGATGTGTCAGATTGGTTGGTTCAGATTGATAAAGTTTTAAAGGGTTGAAACCCCAAGATGACCAAGGATATCTAAGGATTTAACCATCACATATGGGTATGGGTCAAAACCATGGTACCCTTTTTTTACCCCTAAATAGCTGGGATTTCTGGTCATCCCCGAATTCTTTGGCTGTGTGGATTGTGCAGGAGTCAACAGAAAAAATACCCCCAAACTGCCCAAACTGCCCAAACCTTCGGGAAGGGCAGGTAGAGGAATTTTTGCTATCATTTCGTGATTTTGTGCTATTATTGGTAATTTTTTTCATACCCAGCTAGCAAATTAGATATTAAAGGAGCCAAGAAAGGTCGTGAACTATGTGTCCGGAAGCATGGAAAGCAATCTGGAACCAGAGCTTTTCTTCTGGCTCGCTTTCATGACCTCTAGTCACTCTAGTCTTGCTTTCGTCCACCTGCAGGTGGTTTACCTCAACTCAAAAAGAATCCAAGGTACAGTTTGGATTTGTCTAAACATGTTGGGAAAATCTCCAAAATCTAATGGTGTATCATGGTTTTCTCTATTAAAGTTGCCTAGAATTGGGGTTTATGTTCTGCATTTTTGGGTGCCACAGCCCCAAATAGGGTGAGTTGAGCATCAAATCAAAACGACCATTGTGGTAGGCTGTCAAGATTGTCAACCCCATAGATGCTTGAATGCAAAACATGAATGGTGGTAAACCCAATAATAACCACTCCCCCAAATCACCAAAAGCGGTCCTATAAACCAGCCTTAGTCATGGTAGCTTTCTGGCAGCCAGGCTTTGCCACATGGACCGAATTCCGGGGTCCAGGTCGCCGTTTTTTCGTGTCGCTGTTTGAGTGGGTTTGGCAGCTGAGGATGCTCGATGTCAACCACAATGCATTGCTCTATCTGCCCGATTCCTTGGGTGGTATGATGAACTTGAAGCGGCTGGCAGCAGTTCATCGAAAAACCTGGTTGATGATAGCCTTTATATATTGGGGATTATCGTAATCCATGAACCGGGAATCCACATTTTCACCATGCTTTTCCAGATTTTCCACGAAGTTTTAGTTTCACTGCTCAAGTGGTTCCCATTGTTCTGGTCTTACCAGCTGGTTTTGGCTACACAGCACAGCGATAGAATGGCAAGTCACTAGGGCGAATAGCCAGGTATTTGTATGCGGAGAACAACCAGCTCCACTATTTGCCGGATTCGTTCGTCAACTTGACATCATTGGTGCAGCCTGGACAAAGAGTGAAAAGTATTGCTGGACCAAAAAACAGTTCATGGGCAGATCTCGAGCATGTTTTTAAAAACTGCTTTCTGAAAAGCTTGAACTTTGGATAACTTTGGTTACTCTGACCTTGCGCCGAGGGAACTCCAATTACAAGATAATCTGCTGGCTGGTCTACCGAAATCCTTGGGCAATGTGGTGAAGCTAGAGCAGCTTGGCGCGTAGAGGTCCCATGTGGCGACCTCTTAATGTTCGGAAATCGATAGAATGGGGTACACTACTTTTAGACAAAACCGGCATGTCAACAGGAAGAGGCCCCCATAGTTGACTTAGAACTAGCTTAACGTTTGGGTTAAGGGATACAATTGATACAATGAACTAGTTGTATGGGCTTACAAACCACCAACAAACGTTTGGCGTTTGGGGACCCCATTAACCGCCATTCTTTGAGAGTTCTTTGATCATCTGAGGGAACTCGATGTACATTACAATGCGCTTTTCTCTTTGCCTGATTCGATTGGTCACCTGACGAGCCTGAGGCGGCTTGGCTGCGGATTTTGCCTGGAGTTTTAGATACATGTATATAACAACGATAAGAACAATAGTAATACTATAATACTAATAAGATACTAATACTAATACTAATACTAATGCTAATGCTAGTACTAATACTAGTATATACTTATTTGAGTACTAATAATAACGACAACACTGATGACAAGGACAATGATGATAGTACTAACAATAAATGTATAGTGATAATGCATGATTTTGATAATCATTACAATAAGATACAATAAGCAACAATAACATCTTATGTCCTTTGCAACTCCATGCGCTACAGTATAGTTCTTTTTGTTGGCTTCCAGTTTGGCTGGGTTCAGGTGCTCCCAGCTCTGTTTCGGACTATCCTCCCTGGGAGGACTCTGGATTTATCACAGAATACTTTGAGTATTCTGCCTTTCTCGCTCGGCGATTTGAAAAACTTGGTGACGCCCGGCGAGATGATTTGTCTTGTTTTGCAGCGCTTTTTTTCGAGCAGCTCCAAGGTTGGGGCCCTTGGGGTATTCAGATGGGGGCTTTGCTAAGGACTTTGCATTTGCAAAGGAACAACCTCGATTCTCTGCCGGCTTCCATCGGCAATCTGACGAAACTAGAGCAACTGGACTTTACTCATCGATGCTACTCTTGACTTCTCCCCAAAGATGTTTCTTCTTTCAAGCTCTGTCTAGGGCTGGTCTGGACGACAGGGTCTCGGTGTCCCTTTCGGTGTCTGTTTCCGACAGCCTGGCCGTTCGCATTCCCCCACAGCTTTCCTTGTGGTTGACCACGATATGGTTGTTGGATTGCTTAGCATTTGGAAAAGGAATCAGCATTTCACAACATTTCAGCGTATTTTCAGGAAATTTTGCCTTCTCGACACGGACATGGGTCAGATTCAGACAGTTTTAGTAGAGACCCGACTGGCGGAATCCAAGGGAGCTAAACTTGCAACAGAATTCTCTGGACTTGTTACCAGATTCTTTGGGAAACCTGACCAGCTTGAAGTGCCTCGGCTTCCGTGCAGCGTTTTGCCAATATTTGAGCTGATGTTCAGAGTTTGTAAGTTGATGCGAAGGATGTTTCCGCACATGTACTCCATGATTTTCTAAGCACCACAGGCAAATAATGTCTAATACTTACCCTAAAGTAAACTCGGGTAAACTAACAGCATAGATGTGGAAACCGGTGGTTTTCCTGGAAACATGTTTTCCCCACGGCGTAAGATAATGGAGTCTTCAGCCCAGAATAGGTCCGGTGTGCACTGGTGCAGGTGCCGGGTCAGGTTCAACGAGGTTCCGGAGAAGGTTCCGAAGGTTCCGGAAAAGGTCTCGAAGGCTTTTGGTGCAGAGCCAGGGCACGTTCAACAGGGTTCCCAAAGAGGTTCCGGAGAAGGTCTGGGAGGCTTTGGTGCAGAGCCAGGTCAGGTTCAACAGGGTTCCGGAGAAGGTTCCGGAGAAGGTTTCGGAGAAGGTTCCGGAGAAGGTTCCGGGAGGCTTTGGGGTGCAAAGCCAAGTCAGGTTCAACAGGGTTCCGGAGAAGGTCCTGGAGAAGGTCGGGAGGCTTTGGTGCAGAGCCAGGTCAGGTTCAACAGGGTTCCGGAGAAGGTTCCGGAGAAGGTTTCGGAGAAGGTTCCGGAGAAGGTTCCGGGAGGCTTTGGGGTGCAAAGCCAAGTCAGTTCAGAGCCGGAGAAGGTTCTGAGAAGGTCGGGAGGCTTTGGTGCAGAGCCAGGTCAGGTTCAACAGGGTTCCGGAGAAGGTTCCGGAGAAGGTTCCGGAGAAGGCTTCGGAGAAGGTTCCGGAGAAGGTTCCGGGAGGCTTTGGGGTGCAAAGCCAAGTCAGGTTCAACAGGGTTCCGGAGAAGGTCCTGGAGAAGGTCGGGAGGCTTTGGTGCAGAGCCAGGTCAGGTTCAACAGGGTTCCGGAGAAGGTTCCGGAGAAGGTTTCGGAGAAGGTTCCGGAGAAGGTTCCGGGAGGCTTTGGGGTGCAAAGCCAAGTCAGGTTCAACAGGGTTCCGGAGAAGGTTCCGGAAAAGGTCTCGAAGGCTTTTGGTGCAGAGCCAGGTCACGTTCAACAGGGTTCCCGAGAAGGTTCCGGAGAAGGTCTGGGAGGCTTTGGTGCAGAGCCAGGTCAGGTTCAACAGGGTTCCGGAGAAGGTTCCGGAGAAGGTTCCGGAGAAGGTTTCGGAGAAGGTTCCGGAGAAGGTTCCGGGAGGCTTTGGGGTGCAAAGCCAAGTCAGGTTCAACAGGGTTCCGGAGAAGGTCCTGGAGAAGGTCGGGAGGCTTTGGTGCAGAGCCAGGTCAGGTTCAACAGGGTTCCGGAGAAGGTTCCGGAGAAGGTTTCGGAGAAGGTTCCGGAGAAGGTTCCGGGAGGCTTTGGGGTGCAAAGCCAAGTCAGGTTCAACAGGGTTCCGGAGAAGGTTCTGGAGAAGGTGGGGAGGCTTTGGTGCAGAGCCAGGCCAGGTTCAACAGGGTTCCGGAGAAGGTTCCGGAGAAGGTTCCGGAGAAGGCTTCGGAGAAGGTTCCGGAGAAGGTTCCGGGAGGCTTTGGGGTGCAAAGCCAAGTCAGGTTCAACAGGGTTCCGGAGAAGGTCCTGGAGAAGGTCGGGAGGCTTTGGTGCAGAGCCAGGTCAGGTTCAACAGGGTTCCGGAGAAGGTTCCGGAGAAGGTTTCGGAGAAGGTTCCGGAGAAGGTTCCGGGAGGCTTTGGGGTGCAAAGCCAAGTCAGGTTCAACAGGGTTCCGGAGAAGGTCCTGGAGAAGGTCGGGAGGCTTTGGTGCAGAGCCAGGTCAGGTTCAACAGGGTTCCGGAGAAGGTTCCGGAGAAGGCTTCGGAGAAGGTTCCGGAGAAGGTTCCGGGAGGCTTTGGGGTGCAAAGCCAAGTCAGGTTCAACAGGGTTCCGGAGAAGGTTCCGGAGAAGGTTCCGGAGAAGGTGTGGGAGGCTTTAGGTGCAGAGCCAGGTCAGGTTCAACAGGGTTCCCGAGAAGGTTCGGGAGAAGTTCTGGGAGGGTTTGGTGCAGAGCCAGGTCAGGTTCAACAGGGTTCCGGAGAAGGTTCCGGAGAAGGTTCCGGAGAAAGTTCCGGGAGGCTTTGGGGCGCAAAGCCAAGTCAGGTTCAACCGGGCTCCGGAGAAGGTTCCGGAGAAGGTGTGGGAGGCTTTAGGTGCAGAGCCAGATTGGGTTTAACAGGGCTCCGGAGAAGGGTTCTGGAGAAGGTTCCGGAGAAGGTTCTGGGAGGCTTTGGTGCAGAGCCATGGCCAGGTTCAACAGGATTCTGGAGAAGGTTCTGGAGAAGGTCTGGGAGGCTTTGGTGCAGAGCCAGGTCAGGTTCAACAGGATTTGTGGCCATTTATTTCACGGAAACCCAGCTGAGGTGTTTCCAGCACGCTTCAGAAAGATTTGTACAAATAAAACGTCGCGGCTGTTGGGGATACCACCCATCTATCTTAGTTTACCCCAGGGTATCTCCTCGTTCAGTTGGTTTTGCCAGTTGTGGCATTGAAGCACTTGGATGTTCGACCAACCACTCTCCAATCCCTGATTTGGAGGTTTCTGAACGCGAAAAGTGTTTGTAAAGAAATAGCAACGGCTTCCACCTTTGGGCCGAGGGTGCTGCTGTGATTGGATTCGTTGGAATTGAGGCGTTTGAATTTGGCGGAAAACCAGTTGTCCTTTGTGCCTGAGTTGGTTGGCAATCTGCAGAAGTTAAAGTGGCCTGGCATCCGACTTTGATGTTCAGCTGCAAGGTGCTCATTGCCAAGTGTTTTCCAGCAGAAACCCAGGACATTACAATTGCAAAGAAACTTCCTGCACCGCCTGCCCGCTTCTATCGGCAATCTGACGAAACTAGAGCAACTGGGCTGTTTTTTTGTTGGATCCTGCTCTCAACTTTGTCCCGAAACACGTTTTCTTTTTCAATTTCTGGGGGCTCTCTATTCCACTCTGCTGGACGACAGTATCCCTTTAGGTGACTGTTTGCACTCCCCACGGTTTCCCTTGCATTAGTTTCATTAGCATAGTATGTAGAATAAGAACTCAGAGCAGTAGGACAGTTTCGGTCTAATTTCTTTCTTCACGCAATTTCAATACTGTATATTTCAGAGTATTTTCACGGATGCATCGGGACAGGGGCCGGACTCTGACATTCTCAGACACCTGACTGAGCCTTGGTGGCGGAATCCAAGGGAGCTGGACTTGCAAAAGAATTATCTCTACTTGTTACCTGCTTCTTTCGGCAACTTGAAGAGCTTGACGTGCCTCGGCTTCCATACAACATCTTGCCGAAGGGATACTGGTGCGGGTGCGGAGAAGACTGGCAAAGATTCAATCACAACAGTGTTCAGACTAGTTCCCTCCTCATAATATGAAACACCTCATAGACACCATGGTTTAGTAGGAGATTTGCATTTATTTGGGACCATTTCATAGCTGTTTGATATTAGGGGGATGAGATTGTCCCAAATTGACGTCGCATCCGTGTTCCAAATTAACGTGCCGAATGTATGCCCCAAATTGACGTGGATCGTGTGCCCCAAATTGCCACGGATACCCTCTTCTTGCTTCTTTCTTGAAGAGTGTCCATAGAATACATGATACCTAAGTGGTAAACATTTGGGTTTATGGCCACCTTGCCACCTGCCAAGTTTACCAGTTCCCAAGTTTTGGTTTAGGCTTTACTATTAATGAGTCCTCGGGCGTTGGAAACTGCCCAGTTCCCACTGCTGCTCTAACCAGCAAGTTAAAATGGGGTGTCAGTGGTTCCCCAAAATTTGGCAGTTGGGATCACTAAAGCATCCATTTGGGTGGGCTGATCATTTTGTCGTTGGAACCCCAAAACCCGGCGAATCATCAGTGAATAGAACAGTTTCTTAGAAGGGTATCATTCATTTTGACCCATCCTTGGCTGGTTCAATGGATTCAACCTTGAACCACGCTGAACTGCATCTCGAGTCTGCTGAACTGAGTCTGCTGAACCTGACCAACAACTCTCTCGGCGTCCTGCCGGACTCCTTCTGCGAGTTGACGAACTTAGTGCAACTGGTCACAGAAGGAAAGCCAGCCTGGTGTGGTGTACAGGCTGGCTAAATATCATTCTGTTTTGTTATTTAAACCAAACCTTGGGATAGTTCTTGGTTATGAAAATCATCTATATTAAAGACCGTTTGCCAAAAATAGTTGACAGAAGTTTTGTACCAGTAGTTGATAATTAGTGTAGAGAAATAGTGTTGTTTATCTTCGTGATGAGGCGGCACGCAGCAAACATTCACCATCTCTGCAGTTTTTTTACATCCATGTTCAATGTTTTTTAGATGTGTGTTCCTGACTATTTGTTGTTTCAACATGAAGAAAAAATAAGATGTAACACTTGGTGCCTCAGACCCAAGGATGTCTTAGTGAGTTTCTTTGCTACTCAACAATTTTCCAATATTTTCAAGTTGTCGTTCAATCTTGCGAATTTGACCTTATTTTCGCATTGCTAGATCGCCGCTAGCAATGCGCTAGCAACAGTTGCAATTAGCGGCTTTGGCTGACCAGTGACCCAGCCGCCGCCAGAGAGCTTGTAGTTTCTCTTTCTGTTTGACAGAAACAACAGTGACAGCAAAGGCAACAACAAGCCCTGCAGCAAATATTCCAGTTCCACGACTAATGACTAGCAGCGGCACCCACTCCATATAAACGTGCGTCAGCAAACATTTACTGCAAGTTTCAGCTACGGTTTAAAACATGAAAGATGAAATGCAGGGTTTCAGACTATTTAGATAAGTCATAGTTTTACAGACCAAACAAGAAGCGGCACGAATGGAATTACGATTTATCAACCAAACCAGAAGAAAACATTTTGACAAACCGTCTAATATACTGGAATGGCCAACAGATGATGACATTTCTCTGGACGCTCTACTCAGGTCCCTGTTCTTACAGGAGAATTTTCTGCTGGATTTGCCCAAGAGAATGGGAACTCTGGTAAGACTCAAGCAACTTGGCGTCGCTTAGACCCAATGGGAGACAAATCTTTGAGATCAGCTGTGGTGCAGTCATGTTATCCAAAGTTTGTGCTTACACTCCAAGACCAGAACACATTTATATAGCTGGGAACTCAGGAAACTGGTGGTGCACCAAAATAGCTTGACTTCTTTGCCTGAATCCGTGGGCAGCCTCCAGTTGGAGCTACTTGACTGTGTGGATGGTGCCAATCAAAAAAAGCATGGCCTGTTTCAAAGTGACAAGTTTGAGACACCCGTTTTAAAGCATCCAAGCGTTGTGTGTACACAATGGCCAGTTTTAAAGCAAAATCGGCACCGCAGGGAACTTGATGTGCATCTGAATGTTTTGGTGGAATTGCCTGACTCCATGGGCAATCTGGTGAACCTCCGGCGACCTGGCACAAGAATTGCTACAATCGGAAAAGGCATCAGTAATTTAGGCCTTTAGACATCTTTAGACATGGTTTCTGTGAATTTTCCCATCCATTGATGAGGGGATCTATTGAAGCAGTTGAGCTTTTTGCACATGATTCACACTGCACAAGAAATTTGCAAATGCCTTGCCAAACCACCACTGGAGAGACCAAGCAGCTGCGCTTGTATAAGGTCTCTTCAATTGCAGGAGAACGGGCTGACGGATTTGCCTCATACAATGGGGAATCTGAAGAACCTTTTGCCACTTGGTTAGAAAAGCTCATGTGGCTGTCCAGTTTGTTTGCATCTCAAGATCTCCCAAGAATCAGCTGTGTTGTCCGAAATGTGGGCAAGTCCTTGCCAGTTCGAGCGGGACTAAGGGAACTCTTTCTGGAAGGCAATCGGCTGACATCCCTACCCGAATCCTTCAGCCAGCTTGCAAACTTGGAGTTTCTTGGTTTACTTGCAGTTCAGTGGTGGCAAAGGGCGGTGCCTTGATTCTTCTGCACGTGTGACCGAGATTAAGGTCTCTTTCCCTGCAGAATAACAGACTGACCTCACTTCCCGAATCCTTCTGTCAGCTGACGAGGTTGAGGTTGCTTGGCATAATAGTCTTGGACTCCCAGCGACATGCACGCAAATCAAAATCCCAACCGTCGATATATCATATTTTAATTATGCACACTTACTTCCATTTAAAAGTTGGTTTTCTTCGTGAATCTGTGACTTGAGGACTAAAACAAATGCTAGCAAGTGTGGTGTATTGGTCTGGAGACTGCTCCCAATGCAAGCCTGGTGTAGCGCGCGAATCTGAGGTATTTCCATTTGCACAGCAATCAGCTGACGCATTTGCCGGAGAACATTGGAAAGATGAAGCTCCTAAGGCCACTTGGCACAGTAGACAGCTGACCCAGTGGCGTGACCTCATATCATCAAGTCCCATTCTACTAGGGGTTTGCAATCCTTCTGATTGCTATGTTTTCTTTTGTGAAAGGATTTCAACATGCCCTCTGGATGACGAATTTTTTAATGGCCATATCTCTAACAGGCTACAGGACAACGACATTCTCAGCTCTCTCAAAAAAAGTGAAGACGCACACACACACACACTTACCCTCTGGTAAACTAACATAGCTATTGAAAATCACTATTTTTTATGGGAAAATCCACTATTTCTATGGCCATTTTCAATAGCTATTTTGACATAACCAGAGGGTACATTTGCTTAGAACATCATTTGGCAAAGGCCCTGCGAAAAACGCTTGAGTGTTCCAAGATTTCGGAGCACTCATCGTGGACCACCAATAAGTTGTTGCCCTTTTGGCCGGTTGACACCACTTGCAACTAGTCAGTTTTTTGGAAAATGTTACGGCTTGAAACACCACATTCTTGATTGTGGCGATGTTCTAAGTATATAAAGAAACAAACGCTAGCCCCTATCCCAACTGTTTGTCCACCTAACGCGAGCGAACATCCTTTCATGTTTCATGGATCAATTCAATTTGGGGTCACACAGGAATTTATCATTGGGTCCGATAATAGAAGAAGTTGTGTTGTCTGCTGTGCAGGCAAGCCCTTCCCAGTTTGAGCGGGACTAAGGGAACTCTTTCTGGAAGGCAATCGGCTGACATCCCTACCCGAATCCTTCAGCCAGCTTGCAAACTTGGAGTTTCTTGGTTTACTTGCAGTTCAGTGGTGGCAAAGGGCGGTGCCTTGATTCTTCTGCACGTGTGACCGAGATTAAGGTCTCTTTCCCTGCAGAATAACAAACTGACCTCACTTCCCGAATCCTTCTGTCAGCTGACGAGGTTGAGGTTGCTTGGCATAATGGTCTGGGACTCCCAGCAACATGCACGCAAATCAAAATCGACCACCCGCTAAGAAACAAACCACCAAATAATAATGATACAGTAATAAAAATAATAAATAATAATGTTAGAAAATACAATACTAATAACAATAATAATAATAAAAACAATAATAACAATAATAATGATAGTAATAATCATAATAATCAATAACAATGATAATTGTTAATAATAATAATGATAATATATATATACATATACACACAAATATAAAATAATATAACACAACAGAACATACCACTACACTACATTACATCACATTGCATTGCATTACATTGCATTACATTGCATTACATTGCATTGCATTGCATTACATTGCATTACATTGCATTACCTTGCATTACATTGCATTACACTGCATATATACATATATTTAACATCATTGTCATTACCATCATCACGACTATCTATTCTTTTTATCACACATATATTCACATGTTTGTACATATATGTGGATATGTATATGTTTATGTGACATGTGTATGTGACATGTGTAAATGTGCATGTATATTCACGGCTGACTTACGGTCAGTTCCTTCCTCAATCTGTTACCGAGAAGTAACAACAATATCAAGTATGGTGACTTTCTCTCCTGAGGGCTCTCCAATTGCAGAGCAACCAGCTGACCCATTTGCCCGAGAACCTTGGGAATATGAAGCTCCTAACGCCACTTGGCAAGGACATGACAGTGATTCGACATCCGCTGTACAGTTTCCGCGATTGCTGGCAATATCACACGGCCGAAGTAGCCACTGAATGCTTGGAGACTACATGCGGCCCATTCTACATTCTGACACCCTGAAATTTCAAGCCTGTGTCAACATATGCCAAGTGTTTCTGGAAGATATTCTTGTCAGGCTGAACGGGCGTGTTTCAAGCAGCAACTGTTCCAGCAGTGGGACTGAGGTTGATTCTTCTGCGCGAAAATCAGCTGAAAGGCTTGCCCGAATCGTTCAGTGAGCTGACGAAGTTGACGTCTCTTGGCTTCAACCAAGGTTTCAACAGCGGAGCGATGGGTCGATGGGCTGCCCATGGGTCGATTGGAAAAACTTGTAGATCTTACAGGACTGGAGTCTGTCCACGGATGATGAATATTTTTTCTTCCACTTTTGTTTTTGTAGTAGATTTTGGAACATATTTGGAAGGCCGTTTCAAGCAGCAGCTTTTTGTCCACCCCTCTTCCGATTTCCAAAGTCCCCAAATTCTCTGAAACACATCCACTATACATATATAGGGGATTTGCCGGTTCAACTGACAAAAAATCGTTCATTATATTATATTATATTATATTATATTATTATATTATATCATATTATATCATATTATATTGTATTATATTTTATTATATATATATATTGATAATATATCTATATTGATATAATAATAATAATATATATATATTATATATATATATGTATATGTGTATATACTATGTATGTGATTGAGTATTATGACATAATATATCATATAGATGACATATCATAGATCATATCGCACATCCTACTTACACTTATCCCATGAACGGTTCACCAAGAAAATCGCTACTGAGTCTGCTGGATCTGTCCAACAACTCACTGACGGTGCTGCCTGAATGGTTGACGAGCTTCACGCAACTTCAGCAGCCCAGCTGTGAGGTGTTGCGGGGCAACAGCAGCAACAGCTGGGGCCCAACATAGCCTACCTGGAGGATCATCCTTCTTAGTGAGTGATTCATAACCCAGTATGGATTATAACCGTGGTTTATCATTCCATGCATACATGGATAAATGTATTATAACTGTGGTTATTCGCCACTTAGCTGGATGATCCTCCAAGTGACATCTATGACACAATGGGATATACTTGTGAGACTAGAGTAAAATTGGGGTTAACACATGTTAGTATTATGAGATTGATTTGGTTGAAGTGAACATTTAATCGAAAACACAGAAACCACAGTTTTCCTGTACAAAAATCCCTTAAATCAATCCATTCACTAACCTTGGGATTTTCCTATTGAAATGGACAAAGTTGTTACGATAATACGGGTTTGTTTGAAATGGTCTCCAGTTCCATAGGAGATGTTGCTCTCCATAAATTGGTGTTGTGTTCCACAAGCATTGGATTTTAGGGTAGCCCATTTCCCAGAAGCCACATAGATAATTTTTGCATGTGGATCTTAAAACAGAAAGGGGCCTAAGCCCAGTTGCCCCAGTTCCAATGGATTGGAACATGATTTTCCCCCAAAATTGGGGAAACTTAATCCGACTTAACCCCTTTTATCGAACTTGGGGTATCCAACGGAAGTCTTATTTTCATCCCTGTAGGATGATGGAGCCAGGGTCCATCTGCCCGGCTGGGCGGCTGCAACATTGCCAAATTTGAGGTTTCTATATGTACAGAACAATCGGCTGAAGGACGTGCCTGACTTGGGGAAGCTAAAGAGCCTAACGCCACTCGGGCGATGACGAAAAATGGCAGACCTCTGTGATTCCATTAAAAAAGGTGCCGGATGTCATTTTCCTCAGCTTAGAAGTAATGATTGTTGTTTTTGTCCTGGTCCGCGGTACTGTCAGAAGAGACTTGTACGTGTCGATGCTCTGTTGCAAACATGTGTGGGATGGATGACCGATTGGAGGGTTTTACCGCGCCACAAAAAAACAAGCTGCACAATGAGGGTAGAGTAGTATCCACTGACTCCTAGGTTGTCTTGGACGCACAACTCTTGTTCTTACACCCGTGGTTTAGAAACAAACTGATGTTTCTAGCATGGGTTGAAGGGAAAATGAACATGGAAACCGGACACTCCCATATACGGGAAGGTAAACGCCATGTTTGCCTGTAATGTTCACGTTAATTCAAGCCACACAGTTGGGACATCCCATGATATCCCCTATTCTATCCCATTTTATGTACCCATTTGTTTGGTTTTTTTCCCCCAAAACATTTGTTGTTGGTCAAATCTACTTGACATGGGCCTGCAGTGGTCCAAGGGTGCTATTTCTCGGTGGAAATCAATTGACCCGCCTGCCGGACTCCATTGGCGAAGTGAAGAACTTGACGCCTTTCGGCCACATTTTGAGCACCATCCCATGACCCTTTCTGAAGAACCAGGAAATAGAGAACCAATAGATCCACTATTACCATAAACCTGTTTTCTTTTTGGGTGTTTACCCAAAAAAAATGAACAAGGGGAAGGGATCAGCTGCTACCCTTGTTGGGTTCTTCTTTTTTACATGATCACGATTCGAAAACTCATCAGATTCCCTGGTTGATCACCGTCCTCCACAGTATATTATATATATGCTATATATTATGTAGATATTATATAAGTATGTATATATATATATATGTACATATACATACATACATACATACATACATACATACATACATACATACATACATACATACATACATACATACATACATGTATACATACATACATACATACATGTATACATGTATACATGTATACATGTATACAGATATACATACACGTATATATATATACATACATACATATACGTATATGTATATCTATATGTACTTATATAATATCTATATACGATATATATATATATAGATAGCATATATATATATATGTATAATATACTGTATATATTTGTGGGTAGCCCCCAGTTTCATCAGCATGTGGGAAAGAGGGTTTTGACACACGTTTTAACACCAATCTCTGGTCGGTGTCAAGTTGTGTGGCTACGAACCAAGGGAGCTCTGCGTGCAGCAAAATTATCTGATCAGTTTGCCAAAATCCTTGGGCGATCTGACGAACTTAAGGTGTCCGGGCGGCAATGGTTCAAGTTCACGAGCTCGTTTCCAGCATGAAAACGAATGGCAAGTTCATCCCTGAGCAATAGTGGCTTTATGAGGGCCTTTAGACCGCCGAAAGCCATTACTCCCTTCCCCTGGTTCAAGGCATTGGACATACATCAGGTTTTGTATTCACGGGTGCCCATATGGGGGTATCAAAGAAATTAGGGGGAAGAGATTACATCAATTAGCAACATCACTAAAAACCATCTCATACCCAATAGAAGCCTATAACCCCCGATACGCTGAATTCGTACTTCCTTAAGCCACCGACCTAGAGGGATCACCCTGGAGGGTGCCATTTGAGGCATCTCGAATTGCAGCAAAATCAGCTGACCTCGTTGCCAGCTTCTCTGGGCAAGCTGGTGAACTTGATGTTTCTTGGCCAAACATGGGGAATTTTCCGCATCTGATCTCATGGCCATTTAAGAAAGGAAGATCATGATTAAGTATGATTAACTTGTGGAGTTGTGGTATATCATGGTAGATTCAATTGTTGGGCAAAGCCAAATGGGTGTTTCTTTAGCCTTGTGGGACCCCGAACTTGGCTTTCCAAACTGCAAAGTAGATCAATCTGGTGGCTTGGACCCCCTCAATGTGAAGAAACACAGTTATCACACGCCATGATCCATCTATGGATCCTGGAAAAAGTCGTCGTCATCATCCTCTTCTCCCTCCTCCTCGGAAACGACAGGGAGCTGGACGCACATCGAAATCGCTTACTTTCTTTGCCCTCCATGGACGATCTGGTGAACTTGTGGCCGCTTGGCTGAAACCGGCTGGGTCCCTATGCTGCGCTGCTTGATGGGGGTGGCTCGTGGAGCGAAATGGAAAAAATGGCATTTGGGTTATGAAAAAAGGGCAGCTTTAGTTTGCGAAACGCTATTTGAAACTCTATTTTGGCTAAGTACAATACTACAACAACATAACATCACTAGAGACTTTCTGTAAATAAACAGTTGAAACAAGAGCAGAACTATCACGGGAAACAGCCACACGTACAGGGAGGACAACAGCACATTGAGCATTCACAACACCAGCACTAGTCGCAACGCTATCAAGAGAAGCATCGTGATCGCTATCTCCAGTCCCAACCCCATAAATGTCAGGGTATTGTTGCAGAATAGGAAAGCCCTAGATTTGGCACACAAACGGTGCCTGTTTTTGTTTTTACAAATCAATCTATGGATACAGGTGTTACTGGCTGCACTGATTCACCCAAGGAGAGGGCGTTTACTTGCGTTGAGGCAATTTCGGTGAAATCACCAGCTATTTATGTAGATAATAGTGGGGATCAACATGCCATGTGGGTTTGTGAAAATAGGATACCCTAAAGTATCACGGTTGATGATGGTTTCCGCCATGGCTTGGGCATAAAATATGGGATTTTCGCAGAAAGCCACATTTTCGCATAGCTGGCCGATGCTGGCTGCAGGCGGATTTCTTTGGAGGGCAATCGTCTGACCTCCTTGCCGCAATCCTTTGGGAAGCTGCAGATGTTGGAGCTTTCTGGCGTCTATTAGGAAGGGGTTGTTCAGAGCTAGGGGTATCCATATTCCCTACTAAATGGGCAAGCAAGGAGCTACTAAGAGTTTTCCAACCACATGATAGACATGTTTTTTTTTTCAGGTGGGTGACTTGTTAGAAGTCAACCGGAACATCATTGCATTTTCATGAAGAGGATTGATAAAACGTGATAGTTATCCTGGCTAGAGATCCAAACAGTGTTCTGACAAGAGCTCCTGATAAGAATCTTTCCAGGACCTCAAAGGGAATCTCACTACATTGTCATAGAAGGAGCTTCTAGAGGATCTTACATGTTTTTTTTCGAGAAGCTCCTAAGAGCATCCCACAAGATGTTCCATGCGAGCACCTCTAAGAGCCAGGCATCTCCATGATCTTGATGCAAGGACCTCGACAGGATTTCAGCACACCGCAAGATCTTCTCACAAGGACCTTCTGTAAGATTTTCATACCAGGACCTGTAAGAAAACCTCACAAGATTGTCGTAGAAGGACCTTCTGTAGAGGACCTGACAAGTTTTTTTCAAAAATATGAGCTCCTGGCAGCATCGAACAAGAGCTTTCACACAAGCAAATTGAATAATTACACGGCATTTTCAAGATCTTCATGCAAGGCAAGGACCTCTTACAAGACTTCAGGAGGATCTCTACAAGATCTTCTCACAAGGGCCTCTACAAGATCTCGGCTAACCAAACTAAAACGTCACGAAGTGACGAGAGGGTTGCGCAAGCATATCAACATAAGCACCGTGCCACAACGAGAGCGATCCGACACGCACAGAGTGACGAGATGGTTGCGCGAGCACACGTTAGAATTTCACAAAGTACTGTGCGCAGCACTAAAAAACCGAAAGTTGAAAACGTGGAAAGCCATTCTTTTCCTAGGTTCCATGCACTTCTTGGTCGAGGTCTCTAAAAAGTATTGCGCCTGTCACGAAAAATGAGTCTGAGGCATCCGAAGTCCAAAGTATTGCGCCTGCCATGCAAAATGATGACCAAGTACCAAGTCCAAAAATGACGACAATCTCACAAACAAGCGTTTAGAGCCTTTCGAAGCATCGCCCAGGTTCACCAAATATTGTGCAAATGACCTCAGGCAGCAACTCTCGTGTTGAGCTGCGCCTGCCACCGTTTTAGCAACGTGCGTGAAGTAGTGCGCCTGCAGCGAGCAAGCGTTTGCTTACATGCCCCTGCCACACAAAGCCAATCTCTGACCTTCCAAAAATGCCGGATCTGTTGTGGCTGCCACAAAAAACGTGCATAGTTCCAAAAACAGAACGAGAGGCAGTAACGCACCTCCGCAGAACAGGTCACCGGGAACACTTTCGTGCGAGACGTCTTTCGAAAAGAGAAAATCAAAAAACTTTTTGTGCTGTCATGGTCGCCAAAAAGAGGCGAACATGTGTGCAACCACCTTCGGCCCACCAGGCCTTAACCATTATAGTAAGAATACCATAGTGTGAGCACACTGTTTCGCGAAAAACATGCGGAAACATTTTCCTTCAAGAACAAACACACCCAGGTGACAACATGATTTGGTATTGAATCTAAGCAGCAATTTGGATCCTTTACGTTTTGGGGGCCTTTTTTGCTATGGACCTTCGAATTAAGGAGCTTGATGAACTGGATACAAAATGGGAATTCCAGTTGCTTAAACCATCTGAAACCATTGGTAAACCCTCCCATTCCCAATGTATTGACACATCTGGTGATGGGACGATTCATCCTTAGAAACACCCCCCTATCACCAGCTGGCCATCTCCAGATGGGCGGATTTGACCAACAACCTCCTGACATCGCTGCCCGACACGCTCTGCGAGTTGACAAACATCAAGCCACTTGGACCTCCGTTCATGGCCACGGCGCTCCGCAAATGGCAGTGTCGCCGCTGAAGAAACAAAGGCTATAACTTATAACTTGAAGGCCTGTGAAAACCGCATTTTTCAACAGGTAAACCATGTTTGGTTAATTTTCCATTGCAACATCGGAAATCGCAGGTGGATATCTGCTTGAATCTGGCCATAGATGCGCCGATCAGTTGTGTAATGATGGATCAGCGATGCAGGTCAGATGATTCATGCAGGTCAGATGATTCTGGAAAATTTTGGTCCGCAACTATCTCCATCTTCATGTTTTTCGAATATGATGATTCAGCGGTGGATAATTCGGATAATTGGGGGTCTAGCCCAGCCAGCCTCTGAGGTCGTTGTTCTTGTCGCAGAATCAGTTGACCCATTTGCCGGACAGAGTGGGAAACTTGAAGAGTCTATCGCAACTTGGTGGTCCCGGTGGCAGGTCTGGCCCTGGCTCTGGGTTTGGCTCCCTGGGGACCTGGATATCTTGGATATTCTAGCCCCATGGGCCCCATGTAACATCTTCTAAATCAGGTAATGCTGCAATGTGGTACGATTCAAGCATTAAAACTGGGGATTGAACCAACGAAAATGGTGGTAGGATGGGGATATCATGTACAGACCTTACATCGGAACGTTGCTGGAATGCCGGTTAGGATTGGGGCGACTATCCCCAACGGACCTCAAAAAAAGGTAGTTTAATCCTTTCGTTTTTTTCGCTACAAATGGAAAGTAACCGTAACCAGCAAAAGATTCAATTCTTCACAACCAAAAGTTGACCATGAAACCGCACAACAGCCTCCAAGACTGACCATAGTTTGATTTGAGTCCATTAACGAAGGCTCATTTCTTTGAAGCGGAACAAGCTGACCTCCCTGCCTGAATCAGTTGCCGAGCTCGGTGAATTGAAGCTGCTTGGCAGTGAGACTAGGAGCAGCTTCCAGGGCTGCTCCAACCTATAGGTATATGATAGCCACAAGGGCCAATGATAATGCTATTGCTATATATATATATATAATATATACATACATATAAACAAGAGCCATTGGTAATCTATGATAATTCCATTTGTTTACCATTCACTCCCATGTACCGCTGTGTACCTGCGGTGTTTGGACAATCCCTTGTTTGTTGAGATGGCCTTTTTCCTCTGGTTGGTCATTTTCCTGGAATATTCACTCCCCATTTTTCACAAGCAATGGTTAGGATGATGGAACACATGATCCAAAACTTGTAGATAGCAGATGATGACTTACCCCATCAACATTCTTTCACAATCAAAGGCAATCAATGTACCTAATGTCTTGCTAGATGGCCCTCCTGGTTGTAAAATTATTTTTTCATACTATATAGCTATATATATATAAGGTGTATATATATAGATAGATAGATAGATAGATAGATAGATAGATTGATTGATATATATATATATATATTTATACATGTATACATTAAACACTTGCCTATGAAATATACATGTATATACATATATATATACATATCATATACACGACACACACACACATGTATATATATATAATACATAAAAGAGGGAGTCAAATATATAAATGATATACCTACGATTTATATGCATACCAGTAGTATCGCACAAGGCGGTGGCGGAAGTTTCAAAAATAGGAAACCCAGAGGAGAGCTTGTTTGTTGTGAATCACGGATGGCAGAGCGAATCCACTAATGGACTGAAAGGTGGTTGGAGTTGTGTTTTTTGGAGTGATTACAGTGGTCACCTGGTCGGTCACCTCACCCGCAACTGCTGGATGTAGTGTAGTGTAGTGCAGCTGTAGTTGTAGTTGTAGTGCAGTGGAGTTGGTAGTTGTGGTGTAGTGTAATTAGTGCAGTGCAATTGCAGTTGCATGTGTGGTGTAATGTGTAGTGTAATGTAATGTAGGGTAGTGTAGTGTAGTCTAGTGTAGTGTAAAGTAGCATAGTCGTAGTTGTAGCTGTAGTTGTAGTTAGTGTAGTGTAGCGTTGTGTTGTGTAGTTTAGTGTAGTGTAGCGTAGTGGGGTGTGGTGTAGTGTAATATAGTGTAGTGTAATGTAGTGTAATGTAGTGTCATGTAGTGTAGTGTAATGTAGTGTAATGTAGTGTACAGTAGTGAGTTTTATGTAGTGTAGTTGTAGTTGTAGCTGTAGTTGTAGTTAGTGTAGTGTAGTGCAATGTAATGTAGCGTAGTGTAGTCTAATTGAGTGTAGTGGAGTGTAGTGTAATGTAGCGTAATGTAGTGTAGTTGTAGTTATAGTTGTAGTTGTAGTTAGTGTGGTGTCGTGTAGTGTATTGCAATGTCTTGTAGTGTAGTGTAATTAATCTAATTAGTGTAGTGTAATGTAATCCGTGTAGTGTATTGTAATTAGTGTAGTGTAGTTTCTGTTGTAACTGTAGCTTTAGTTGTAGTGTAGTGAAGTGTAATTGAGTGTAGGGTAGTGGAGTGTAGTGAAGTGGAGTGTACTGTAGTGTAATGTAGTGTAGTTGTAGCCGTAGTTGTAGTTGTAGCTAGTGTAGTGTAGTGTAGTCTGGTGTGTTGTGGTGTGGCGTAATGTAGTGTAGTGTAATTGAGTGTAGTGTAGTGTAATGTAATTAGTGTAGTGTAGTGTAGTGTTATGTCGTGTAGTTGTAGTTGTAGTTGTAGTCGTAGTTGTAGTTGTATTTGTAGTTATAGTGTGGTGTAGTGGCGTGTAGTGTAGTGTAGTGTGGTGTGGTGTGGTGTAGTGTAGTGTAGTGGTGGTTGTAGTTGAAACTGCGACACAACCGTGACGTTTTGCTCGCTTTTGGCAAGGTGCAGAATCCCTTGCGCCTGCCAGGCGAAACGACATTGGAATGTCCAAAAGTGGTCCGAACAAGTGGTGTTTTGCACATTTTGACTTGGACATGTGCTTCACGCCACAACGGCGTGCACTTTTTCGACATGTGAACTTTTTAAAAGTGCTCCGAACCTGGTGTGTTTTGCACATTTTGACTTTGACATGTGCTTCGCGCCACAACAGCGTGCACTTTTTCGACATCGCAACTTCTGAAAGTGCCCCAAAGCTGAGGTGTTTTGCGAGCCTACTTTTCGACCCTCCGGAGCCACAAATCATTGGAAAAACACAATGTTTCGCGACTTTCCTACCTTTTCGCGCATCTGCATCTTCTTTCTTCTGACTTTCTCTTCTCCGATCTTCTTTCTTCTTTCTTCTTTTCTCTTCTCTTCTCTTCTCTTCTCTTCTCTTCTCTTCTCTTCTCTTCTCTTCTCTTCTCCGACTCTTCCCATCTCTTCTTTTCATCTGTCCATATTGTCGGAAGTTTGACTTCTAAACTTTCTTTGATGATATATATATACACATGAAAGCATATTGTTTACTACATACATACACATCCAGAAACCTTTTTTGAGGTAACAACCACAATTTTGTTGTTAACATCACCGTTTAAAAGAAATGATGCGCTCAGGTATCTTCTCTTGCAGCACAATCGGCTCGAACAGTTGCCGGAGACGATGGGGAATCTGAGGAACCTCACGCCACTTTGTCAAACGTTGGGTAAGCATACAACAAGATGTGGAAAACCGAGGGGATTCCAAGGAAAATCGTCTTGAATGGTTGATTTTCCACATCTATGTTAGTTAAGCCTGAGGGTAATGGATAACATCATATTTGAGGGTAATGGATAACATCATATTTGTTAACAAAGAAACGTGGGGTAAATTCTCCTTGTGAATAATGGAAAACGTGAATGTGGGCAAGCCAATGCCATAGCCTACGATTTATATTGGGTTCATGGCACTGGGGATGATTTATTATTTGGGTTTACCACATTATATTGATATGTAGAATACATATGTGGCAAACTGTGTAATATAGGTTCACAACCAAGAAGCTTGGGACTTTGGCAAGGTGTAGGGTACCCTGCGGTACCTTCCGGTGTCATGTACCCTCCGCTCTCATCAAACGGCATGGCTGGGAGATGAGTGAGCTAAATGGGCATCTAGATAGGTTTATTTGTTTCATCAAGATGTCGTCATGAAATAGTGAACTTTCCACAATATTTTCATGAAGGTCCTTGACAATACCAGCTAAAAAGTACAATAATTGATTTTTCCGGATGTAAATATCCAAAACATGTAAGATCAGTCCGCGTGTGATGCAGTTCTCCAACAAGTAAACGTGACTGGCGGATGGGTTTTATAAGCCATTATCAACCCAATTGATGAATGATTCATATTGTACCATTTGTGCCTGATGATCATTTTTAGAATAAATCACCATGCGCCAAGTTCTAGACCCTGTTTGATTCAAAATCTTCTGGGGCGACCCTCCGAAAGTGATAAAAAAACTGCTGCTACAATTGTCCGTCCCAGCTAAAGGACCTGGGGGGATCTGGGGGGTTATTAATCGGGCCTTGACATTATAGAATGGGCTGACGCCCCGGTGCCGCCGACCCCCTGTATACGGGGCACCCCCTTTTGTTTGCTTTGCCTACATTGTTGTCAACCCGAGCCAGGGACAGTGACTATTCACCATGGACTTTGGTACCGTTTTCAGTGGAAGTACTGGAGGAAAGCACAGCTTTCAGAGTTTGAGATACCATGATCTCCCAGAGTCTTTCCGTACTGAAAACCTCGTGTCATTCACAACCTAATTATTCAGGCGGTAAAAGAAGGTGCAGCACCCAATGGCCTCTTTCCTGTTGATATGACATGGTATGGCTGGCTACTTTGAGACCAATGAAAGAGTTTGGTTTGTATTGAGCATTTCAGATAAAAATGGAAAGGGTTGCAAACAAAACAGCTTCATGGGTTTGTCTCAATGCATGTTGGGCCCATAGTCCAGTCTCTTCAAGTGAATTGCGCAGTGAGGTGGGGGTGGTTGCAGCCAGACGGGCCCGGAAAGGCCGCAGAGTGGAAGGCCACCACCCTTCGCCACGGCCGCG